AGCTTTAAAAAAAAAAAAACGCATCACATAACCTAACTAGGAAAGCCAGTCCTTATCAATCCATTCCCAAATGAATTTTTCAAATAAACATATATCCCTAGCTGACAGCTTTCTAATTTCTGAATTCTACAACAAATGAAGCACTGACACCTAGACGAAATAAGGTACTGCCCTTGTCCACACTTTGTATGGAAATTCTCTTTCCTGTTGTGGGACCCCCACAAGTTTCTAGGAATGCCTCTGGCGTCCTGGGTATTTTTACTCCATAGAGAAATGCACCATAGAAAGATGTAAGTTGGGCGAGAACTGGCTTACCAGCAGATCAACTCCAAGGTAGGTCCAGGTGAATTCTATGAAGTTAATCTAGATACAGATCCCCTTAAGAGCTATCCAAGTCATGTGCTTCCTATTAAAGTGTCCTTGCCCCCCACCAGGTGTATGCACACCTCAGTCTAAGTCACCTCCTGATATGCTCCTCACTCAATAACAGTTTTTTCCTTACCCCCTAGTTCCTCTCTCCTATTTTTAAGACACCGACTTAAGCAACTAGCCAGAATGAATTAACCTAACACTCACAGATACCTTAACCCCTTTCTCTCCACACATCTATGCAAATTGTGGAGACCAAAGATACAAATACAAAAGAAACCCGAGGTAAGGTTTAACTTACGTGGATAAGCTTTCTCCCCCATGAAAAGACTATGTGGCACTCCACACTTGAATACTTGGTATTATAAGTAATTACAATCCCTACAACACACACAACCCCCACCCTATGTGGCAACAGATACACTCAACATGCTTTGTAAAGTATAATTTCCATTTTATTTTTATCCAGAACAGTTTGTCTTCAGTCCTTAAGAACTTAGCTCATTACATAGGCTTTGGCGGAGGTCGTGGGGCAGCACCCTGAAAAATGAAGGAATGAGAGTAAATTGAAAACTATCAATGGAAGACACCCCCCTTAAAGAACCTGACTGACCACTACCCTCCCATCACTAATAATGAATTTGGGCCATAAACACATGGAAAAGTGGTAGATAAGGAAGGAGAACCACACCACTCCATCTGAAACAGAGTCTAACAATTCTTCTTTAGAAGTATCTCTAAGCAAATACTTTAGATGTGGGTCCCACCTGCCTTACCACTTAGTTATTTCACCCATAGACAGAGACCTTAATTTGATATTCCTTATATCCTCACATACTTTTTGTCCATCACCCCTCTGCCTTCCATAACTCCTTTTTAAGATACTTACAGCAGGTCTAAATCTGGGTGGGGGTGTTCGATCCTTCCGGGCTTCACGAGAACGATTCCTGACTACCTTGCTGTGAATGGCACAACTCACACAGTAATGTAGTTTCACATACAGCTTGGGAAGCACATAGGCTAAGGAATAAAAAATAAGAAATACAACATTAAGTATTACATACCCCTCTTGCACTGTTCTTTCTTACTCGTTCTATTATTCAAAATTAAACCTACTTAAATGTCTGTCTGGCACATCTATAAAATTTCTCTCTCAAAGCAACTGGTCACTTTCCGACACCTAAACACATGTGCACAGTTTCACGAATGACTATTCCCCCCACTAACCCATCCTGTCACCATGGGGACCAAATCCATACCCTAGACATAATAAACCAAGAATCCAGTTCCTTCAGCAGTTGCACCAGCCCTAATGCCTACTCCTGGGTCCCTTCTTGTTGCCTAACAGTTAACTTGTCTCAAGAAAAAGAAATGATCAAAACGACATCATATTCCTCCAAACATCAGCCTTGTCGACCAAACTAGACTGCCTCCATTCTTGAAATATTCTTCAAAAAGCTCCGTCTGTACATTTCCACATGTAGTCAAATGTGTTTCAACAATTCAAAAGACTTACTACCTTTACCACGTTTACAGCCAGTGCTCCCCAAGTGTTGACACAAAATATGCTCCGTAAATGCTTCTGGAATCTCACCCCCTAAACAGTCACAAACTAAGACTCAAAGACTGCACTACTCCAAAAATCACCCTCCGGCCAGACGAGACTCAAAACTGCAAACAAGCTAGCATAGATACAGTTTCCAGCGACAACAACGTTCAAGACACATGGAAATTACCTGGGACGCTCCAGAATCTCGCCCATGAACAGAGCCTGCGGGTGGGGTGGGGTGGGGTGGGGTGGGGGAGATTTTAGGTACTAGGCTATCTGCACCGGTCGCGCCAGCTCACTCACCATCGAAGACACTCGCTTCAGAAATATCCCTGACGGCTGCAGCCTCCACTATGTTTCGAATGACGAACTTCTTAATGGCCTTGTCCTTGGGCACGCATCGGGCACAGTTGGTGCAGCGAATAGGCTGCACGTGGCCGCGGCCCTTTTTCGCACGACCATTGTTCCTTCTTTTCTTGGTCTGTAGCGGGACAAAGACCCTGTTACAAAACGGGCGCAGATCACCAGCCCCAGCCCCCTTCCGGCTACATCAACGCCCGCAGCCCCGAGAAAAGTACCACTCAGGTCTCACGTCGCTCCGCAGACTGCTCCGAGCCCGAACATACACACACTCTGCCCCCTGCCCCAGCATGGTCCGGGCTCTCAAATCCCCCCCACCCCCACCACAACCGGCTCCCCGCAACCTCCGCCCGGACCCCCGCGCTCACCACGCGCCACAACTCACCATCTTGAGAACGCGGGCCCGAGAGAGAATCCGGCGGCTGGCCCGGCTCTCTTATATAGCGCGAGATCCCTACGCTCACTCCGGAAGACTCCTTAGGAGACCAACGCCAAGAACAGCAACGCACTTTACTCAAGTTTTCTTCATTATTCAGCGTTTCTGCTGGAATTTAGCGTAGAAAGAGGTTTCTCGAGTTTATTTATCCGTGGTACAAGGTGACCATGGGACTACTTAGCCTGCTGGCGGAGGAAAATTAGAGTTATACGTTTCCCAGCAAGCATCGCGAAGCCCAACCCCGGACGTAATTCTGGGCCTTATAATTATTTGGTTTTTGCGACGCTAGGGGTGCGGCGCAAAACCACGAGTAGCTAGAGGCCAGAGGGAAAGAACTGCATGGTGGGAGTTGTAGTGCTAAGCTGGCAGGCCCCTGGCCCCAAGCACTTATGGGGCGCTACGCCACCGGGGGACGCTCTTGGCTCATTTCTCTGACAATCCTGCTATTTGGTGCCGGGCTGAGAAACGGAAGACCTGGGAGGAAACAAAACATTTTGTTAATTACTCCTTCCAGTATGGAGAGAACCCCACAATGAGGGGCCATGGACAAGTGCATTGGTGCTAGCGCTGTTTCTCATTCACCTTTTTATCCCTGGATCCTGTTAGCACAGTGCCAGGCACTGTAGTAAGCGCTTTATAAATATTAACTCATTAACTCAATAATGCCTATAAGGCATTAGATACTATTGAGTTGTAAGGTAGGTACTATTATTATTCTCATTACAGATTGAAAAACTGAGGTGCAGAGAAGTTAAAAATTTGCCCCAAGTCACACACAGCTACTAAGAGGTGTTCTGGCTACACTATGCTGTGCTGCCTCTCACCTAACAAATGGATGGAGGTATAGCCCGGACCAGTGACTAAACGATTTTGACTCAGACGCATAGTAGAAATATATTTTACATTGGTACTCAACACATTAAACGCAAATACACACACAAAACTGAAACACAAACTTCATGAAACAATACTTACCTTTAGGATGTAATGTGCACTGGTATGTTTTCTATTTTAACATATGCTCATCAAGCCCCATTAAAGTGATTTCACAGCTCATTGATGAGTCTAGCCCCCAGTTGAAACACACTTTCTTATGTATAAGCTCCATTTACCTCTGAAGAGTCTTCAGAAAGTTTTTAGCCTTGAGCAGGAGTGGCTATCTGTGGGCAGCCAACAACCCAGTTGTCTCCAAAATTGAAGAAACTAGGGTGTCAACGGGACCTCCCAGTATTTGGACCCAAGGTGGTACAGACTGAGACCAACCGTTCATTGTGAGTAGTTCTGGAGTCAGAATATACCAGATTCACTTTCCCTCCAACAACCCATCATGGTTTCTCTTAACCTCTAACTCACCTCTAACTCACTTTATTGGGGTTAAAATTTATTTTCCAACTTGTGTTTGGCTTCAAAACAACTATACTCGCGGTCTCTTTTGACTTTGAATTTTGTTAGTTTCAATGGGGCACGGAAAATGATAGGCACTAGGTGGAAGTGTCTTCAATTTTCATTTCAATATCTCATGGAAGACAGAAGGAAGACATTCCCGTATGGAATGGCAATGAAGTAGATAGGCGAGAATAGAAAAAGTTCAGAGTGAAGGGGACAAAAAATAGTTAATATTTAAGAATTAAAGTTAATGTTCCTATCTTGGCTTTTCTTTGGACTTTTACAGCCTGGGGATTTCACTGGCTGCATTCTCTGGCATAAAGGCTTGGGCACAGACTTTGGAGTCACACACCCCTGGGTTCAAATCCAGGTTCTGTCACTTATTGGCTGATGAGTCTTGGACAAGTTATTTTATTCTCTTCTTGGGCTTTTATTTCTTCACTAGTAATGGTGATCATTCCTTTGGGTTATTTCTACAGTTAAATGAATATTTGGCACATGCTTGGCATGAGAGGCTCAAGAAGTTGTAGACCCTATTATTATCATCATTCATGTTATTGTAACTTGTATCTCCCTGGGCATATAATGTGTTTTGCACATTTGCACGGACTAGGTGCTCAACAAAGTTTGATGAATCTCTGCTTTGGATGGATAGGCAAGCTGGGTTTTCTCTCCTATATGGAAGGCACTCCTGGTAGGAAAATCTCCTCCACTTCCCATTCTAGTTTAAAAATTCTTCTGTTCTTCCGTAGCACCAACTTGAGCATTCTTGTTTGGTTTTCTCTCAATCTTAGACTTGTTCACCTCCAAAATGTTTAGCAGTTGCAACAGTAAGTTGCAAGGAGGCCCCCCCCCCCCAGCATAAAGGCAAGGCAAAGGAAGTCTGCAAAAGCAAGCAGGGGTGTTAAATTACTCATGTTTATTTATAACAGACCTTCAGCCAGTACAGTACAAAACTTACAGTAGTATATCTCCGTTACACAAATATTTACTTACAATATATTACATATACAAAATGCTTTGCAATAAGTCTCAAAAGCTAGTTTAACTCTCCTTGAGAAAGGAGAAAAACACTTTAAAAAAAAAGGGGGCGGGGGGAACCAGAGGAAGAGGAGGAGGTGAAGGGGTAAGGTCCAAGGAGACACCAAGCATAGGTTACAAATGAAACCCTGGGAGAGAGAGAGAGAAGAGAGGTGGTATTGCACTTGCTTCTCTGTTTTTTTTTCTTTGTTCTTCATAACTTCTGATTAAAAATATATATAATATATATATATATTATATACACAAGGAAAGAAGCTGCCAGAAGTATTACAAAATCCCATCCGCAGCTTGGACACTGACACAAAAAAACAAAGGTCTGGAAAAGTGTCTATTTAGAAATTTTTTGTGTGGTGTTGATTTTGAATATCAATATAAAAGGAAAACACCTCTTTTCTCCATGTGGGTTTCAGTGTTGGTTTTTTTTTTTTCTTTTTCTTTACTTTTTTTTATGCAAAAGGAGCTGGGAGAGAGCATGAGGATGTTTGAGGTTCCAGAGCTAGAAGGCTCTGGAAGGTAGGATTTTGTACCTAAGACCCTGGTTAAAGTGCAGTGATGGTCTGGAGAGAGATAGAGTGCCCTTCTCTCCCCTCCTTAGCACCTGGTCTTGCCCTTCCAGTCTCTGCTCTCATGGGCTCAGAGTACAGCCTCAGAGCATAGTCCTTCATGTTCCAGGAGGTTACAGGTGCCGAAACTGACTGGGGGAGGGGACGGGGGCACCCTAAGGCTCTGATACCCCAGAAGGGACTAGTCCTTATGAGGTGTCACCAAATACACAGCAGACACAGAAGAGGTGGTAGGGGGCAGGTCTAATGGGAAGGGGCTCAATAACCAGAACAGTTGAGGAGAACCCAGGTATTAATCTCAGCTCTGCTGCCATCCTGAAACAAGGAGCCAGTTCCCTGGGGTGCTGTTGAGAAGACTCTCCTCTTCTCTAGAGACCACTCTCCTCCCAGCTAACTCCCCCATCCTCTGCCCCTGGCAGCATCTGTTTATTGCTACATTGTCAAGGAGGAACAGTCAACCCACAGTGCCCCTCCCTGACAATCTGGTTCTCTTGGGGAGACCACATAATGGAGGAGAAAAAGGAGGAAGAAGAGAAGTTTTTTTAGGGTCCTCCTTCCCATATGAGGGTAAGGTAGACTCTTCTTAGAGCCCTTAAGGGCCCCAATCCCCGGGTCTGTTCCTTAGCCAACCCTTTACCATCCCCCTAAATTATCCCTGATAGGGAGTGAGAAAAGTAGGAGGCAAAAGAGCCAATAAGGAAAGGACATGTGGAAAGAAAGATGGAAGGGAAGAGAAAAGGAGAGAGAGAGAGAAGGACCAAGTGTTACAACTTGTGAGGTGTTGTGTTTGGTTTTTACTTTCTTTTTCTTTAAATATAGAAAAACAGCCTTTGGTTTGAATCTCAAGGAAGCAGAGAATGGGATGGTTGTGGCGTTGGGCCGAGAACTCTTGTAGAAAGAGACCGCCACTTGCAGTGGAGCTGTATCTCCTCCTGCCCCCTTCTCACTAACTAGGTTAGCCAAGCCGCCAAGGGTCTCTGCAGTAGCCAGGAGGAGAGTGCCCCCTCCTGTCCTACATCTGGGAGCTGAGTCTAGGAGGGGGCAGGTAAGGATGACCCCCAATTCAGTTGTGCCCATCCCACTCTTGCTGGGACAAGAGTGGAATGGCGTGAGGGGCACATGCCCTTGCTGTTCCTGGGATAATTTTTGGTTATACTGAAAATGAGAGAAAAGAGACACCCTTTTTTCCCTGCCACTGATCCTAAGGACAGGGCCCAGGAGCCCAGGAATGAGCGGCTGAATCCTGCTGGGGGTGAAGAAGAAGGCAGCATGACTGAGGGGTTGAGATACCCCTGTCATCAGGCAGCAACCCACTAGTTTCTCATAGGACAGGGACGGCAGGAGTCCCTGAGAGTCTAGGAAGGTCACTAGAGTGAAGAAGTTTGAGAGGTGGAAGAGAAAGAGAAGAATTCTGACCCACCCCCTTCCCATGCCCTGGTTCCCAATTAGGCACCTGTAGCTCCCAACATGTCAGAGACGGAGGACTGCAGACCTAGCCTTTGCCCCTGAGAATATAAAATTGGGGCACTCCAAGGAGAGAAGAACCACCACTGAGTAGACCGGCAGGTTGAAGAGAGTAGAGCAGTAGTTGGGGGTTGTCAGAGGAGGGAAGAGATGTATCACATCCTAGAGGGAGATCCCGAATGTGGGCTTTGGGGAGCTCATATTCCCAGGGGGATGTCAAGAGAACCCTCAGTCCCACAGGGCCTGGAGAGAATTTTTTCAGCCCCTCCTACTTCCAAATGAGGAAATTCTTCATTCGTTCAAGAATAGTGCAAGCTGCCTAAAGTGAGAGGGCACAAGAGGTATGGAGTACCAGGTTGAAGGGGCCCAGAGAGGAGACATAATGCCACAGAGCTAGGGGAGGGCCACAAGGAGCTATCAGCATCAAAACTAAAGAATCAGGTAATGCGAAAGGTGAGGACTTAAAGCAAGAAGCTCAAGGTCTCTTAGTACTAAGAGGAGCTTCCTACCCCCGGGCCTGTGGGAGAAAGCTGGATCAAAGAGGGAAAACTTAGGCCTTAAGTGGAAGGTGACTGTGGGCAGGAGGGTGGGGGAGTGGCAAGTGACTGATATAAGTTAAAAAAAAAAAAGCAAAATAAAAATCAACTAATTATATTAATAAATAACTCTGTGAGTATGCCAGGATGAGAGGAGAAGAGAAAAAAGAGAAACATAAGCAAAAGACCTGTTTCATCACAATGCTTAAATCAGTCAGGGAAGAGGAAGAGAATAGGTGAGGAGGGGTCAGGGTCAAGTGTGAAGTCGGGTAGCCAGTGGTGGGGGCTACATAGCACAACTCCTTGGGATGTGGTGGGGACGGGCTAGACTCCTGTAGGTAGGGCAGGGGGGTGGCAGGCTGAGGGGAGGGCGGTCGGTCGCTAGCCTACCTTGTGCTCCCCCCGGACAATGTGGGAAGAGAATTCGTACCGGTCTTGGCTGTGGTAGCCACAGATGTTGCACTCGAAAGGGTCTCTGAAGCCATGGCAGCCCATGTGGATAGTGAACATGACATGGTCCAGGAAGAGGATGCGGCAGTGCTCACACTTGAAGGCCTTCACAGGCTCACCGCTCTCGCCCACCACCCGAAGCACTTCCTTAGAGGGGCCAGGGGTGCCCCGCAGTAACCCCTCCTGTGGCTTGGGGTCCTCTTTGGCGTAGGCAGGACTGGGCCGGCCCACCACAATGGTGGGAGGAGGCTGGGGTGGGGGACCCTGAGGGAGGGATACCACCCCCCCAACCCGATCTTCGTGGTTGCTTTCTGTATCTGTGGAGTCTTGGCAGCCATTGCTGGGGGATGCCCCAGGGTCAGTCAGGGGGCCTCGGGCCCGGTAGAGGAGGGGACCTCCATCAGCCAGGTCCTCGGGTCCCTCACCTGCTTCTCTGGACCCTGGAAGCTCCAGTCGACCGGGGAGGGGCTGCATCTGGGTGTAGACAGAGCTGATGACGGGCGTGAGTTCTGAGATGCAATTGGTAGGTGGAAGGCGGAGGGGACGCAGATGCTCTGCCCCCACAAAGGCCAGAGAACCTCCAAAGCCAGGCTCCAGGCCATGGTGTGCCACCAACTCCACATCCTTCTCATAGCCGCCCGAGTTCACATCATAGGGGAGGTCCGAGAGGCTGAAGCGCATCTGCTTCTCGCCTGTGGAGAAGAGGCTCTCAGCAGGGCTGGTGGGAGAATTCCTAAGCTCCCCAGGATTACTTTGTTTTCTTACCCACGGGGATGGCTGTAACATTATTTACTACCACTCAGTTACTTCCCTGGAGGTCAGGTCCCCTATGGGGCCGCTCCCCAACTCTAGGCTGTAATCTTAGAGAAGGACTCAGTCCCAGCCCACTCATCTTTACTACTTCCTTCATTATTCTCTGTGAAGCTCCAGGTCCTTAGAGAGGGCCAGGTGGGGGGATCCCGTACGCACCTCCTCCCTCTGACTCTAAGGGCTCTTCTCTCGGCCACCATAGACTCAGGTCCTCGATATTCTCAAAAACTGGGAGAGTCTGATCCCCCTGACCCCCTCCTCTTACAACCAACTCAAGAGCCCTCCACATTGCCCCTCTCTACCCTCTCGAGGTACATTCTCCCTCTTCACTCCCCTCCTGTTCTGGGGATAGATTCTGAGCACCAGAGACCACCAGAATGCTTTCTTTCCTTCAATCAAATCTCCAGACCCAACTGGTCTAACGGCTCCCAGAGCTCAGATTTAGATGAGCTGTGGCTTAAAGCTGATGTCTCCTCTCCAACTGGACTCTTACCTACAAACTTCTGGGGGGTGGAACGCTTGCGTTTGGTGAGGCTGTTGGCCAGACGATCAATGAAAGTTGGCCGCTCAGAGGACGAGTGCAGCATGGAGTCTGGCACCATCTCCAGGTCACGTATCTCATCACCTAGTGGGAGGGAGGTGGGGACAGGTAGTAGCAGCTGAGTGGGGGTAGCACTGGCCCAGCAGCCTTCTCCTGGAGAAAACCAGCAGATCAGCAGCCAAGGAAGGTCATACCTGATGCCTGGGAAATGGTTCTGTTTACTTCAACCTGTCTAGAGCTCGTCCTAGCAACAGTTCAGACAATTTGGAGACAAATATACATCTGACCCTTGATTTATTTAATGTTTCCTTGTGTTCTCTCTCTCCCACTAGACTGAGAAAATAGACCAGATCCTCCTCTACCTCTGGATCTCCCTTAGCACCTACCACAGGGCTTGGCCCCAACTGGGGTGCTCAGCAGATTCACTGAGGTAGCTGTCCCTTTTCCATAGACCTCGTCCCTTTGGGGCGGGAGGTGCTGGAATCACGCTTGTCCTGCACTCCCTCCTGCCCTGCCCTCCACTCCCCCATAGCCCCGCCTGTGGCCTCACCTGGTTGGCCAGCCAGAGCTTGGGCTTCAGTGCTGAGACTCTGTAGGTAGTTGTGGCACCGCTCTTTGTGCTCCTCCAGGGTACTCTGCTGTTTGTAGCTGCGGCCGCAGTAGTTACACTTGTAGGGCTTGCCCACGGTGGGAGAGGAGACTGTGGAGGAGAGAGGAGAGAAACAGCATCAGAGTTACTTCTCCCAGTGCCCTGGTTCCACAAAATCATCCAGGAACAAATGTATACTGGCAGGAGGAGGAAGGGGTATTGCTCAGCTGAATTCTTCTGCTTGTTTTCCCTTCTCCAACTTCAGCTGTAAGCATGGACTGATGACCAAACCTTGGAGAAGAGGGACAACGCACAGCTATGGGAGGAGAGGGGGACCTAGGGCATATAGCTTTGGTCTGCTGGGGGGCCTCAAGATGGCCACATTGCTGCTTGAAGGAAGGGAGGACCCAGGGACTTTGTAGGGGCTCATCCCTGGCAGGCAGGCTGGCCCCACCCCAGGATCTCAGAGTCTGGGGCCCAGACTGTGGTTTAACCTTTCCATGTGGCAGGCGGGTGTAAGTGCTGTTTATCAGACAAGGGGATTTTTTTGCTTACGAACTATCTGCTTCGGTTTGGGGGAAATTGGTGGGCTGGGGTAACAGAAATGACAGCCCTTAGATCTGCCACGTGGGGAGGGGCAGTTTTCACTGACCTTTGCTTGCACTGTTACCTCCATCCCTAGCCTGGTTTTACTGCTTATTTTTCTTCCTGTCTCTCTACACTGAGATACCAAGAGAGCCCCAGAAAAACCATCGCTGAGAAAGAAATTCTGAGAAGAGAAAGAGAATAAAAGAACAGAGAGGAAGAGAAAAGAGAAGAGTAAAAGGAAGAGAACACCAACTTTGGGGGTCTTTTTTTTTTTTTTTAAATAAAGAACAGGTTATGAAGATTTTGTTTCTACTGAAGAAAAAAGATTGGGAAAAGAGAGATTGACACTTCCTTTAAAGACAACTTTTGAGATGATGTTTGTGAGAGAAGAGAAAAAAGTGAGAGAAACAAGGTACTGTGTATTTTATATTTTATGTATCTTGCTACTACTGAGCAGGAGGCAGGAGAAGGTGTCTCCGGGAGGCTGGTAATTACTACCCCCCCGCCACACACACACACACACACACACACACTCGCCGAAACTGGGCCTTCACTCAGTCAGTCTACTGCCGTTTTGCTCTTGCTCTGTAAACCCTAGTATTTGGGGGATGAGAAGAACGCCATGGTCCCCATCCACCCAAGACTCTTGGGGAAAGGATTTAACATCTGGATAGGAAGCCCCATTTTTCTTATAGTGTGGGTTGTATTAGAAAGCATCTCACAGAGATGGGACCTGACAGTGTATCTGTGTCTGCTTCTGTCCCTAATAATCTCCTACAAAACAACATCCAGAATCCACCCAGCTGGCCTAGCCGCTGTTGGTAAGAATTCTAGAGGCCAAGCCATCCTTGTTCCAAACCAGCAGGGGGAGCCGCCCTTTTTCTGAGAAAAAGGAGGGCGACTCAGGCACCGGACCTTGATGGGGTTCCAGCGAGGCTGCAGAACAGCTCTGTGACCCGCAAATCCTTTTTTTTCCTTCAGTGCTTCAGTTTCCCTGTCAGCAAAATGGGAATAATAACATCTACCTTGGAACTTTTATGAGAATCACATGAGGAGACACAAGTGAAATACTTTGTAGATTATAAAGCATGAATCAACGATCATCTTTCTCTCTGTTTCTCCACATAGATAGAGACAAAGGTCCCAGGTCCAAGGTGAGAGAACCTAGAACGAGGTAGGTGGCTAGAAAAAGTAGAGGGTGGTGAGGTGATTGCTCTGTGCCTTTAAATCTTGGCCCAGGAGAGTTTAGGAAAAGAGAAAAACAGCAAGGAGAGTTTCCAAGGACAGACCCTACTAATTCTTTCCCCTCTGCCCTTCTTCCTGCCTGTTCCCAATCTTGAGCTCCCTCCTTCCTGCCAGCTCAGCTCCTGGCCTCTTCCCAAGTCCAAGCCAAAAGCTTGAAACTTAGTAAAATGCTTCAAAAATGCTATCTGTCCAGCTGACTCAGATGTTGATTCAAATAGCCTTGGCTGGGCTAGAAAACCAGGTTAGTCCAGTTCCCTGGCACTGTTCCAAACACTGACCTCCAGGAACCCTCTGGACTTGTTCTTGCCTCTGGGAAGACGAAACTTCTTGGAATGGGAAACAGACATGGGATACTCTTTCCCTAGGCTTCCTTTCTTCCAGTTTGGGAAGCCCATAGATGGTTTCAGGAACCAGGAGGAAGTAAAGGAGAGGACAGAGAGTGCTTGCCCGAGACCTCTGATGTTTCAGGGGGAGGTGAAGATGGTGACAAGTGTGGGGCCCGGAACAGATGGAGTGGGAGGAGGGGTTTCCCTGGCGCTCAGAAGTGGGGGGTGATGGGGCACCGATGGTTCTGGAATCAGCATGAACTTTAAAAAACGAAGTCAGGGCCGGCCCCGTGGCTTAGCGGTTAAGTGCGCGCACTCCGCTGCTGGCGGCCCGGGTTCGGATCCCGGGCACGCACCGACGCACCGCTTCTCCGGCCATGCTGAGGCCGCGTCCCACATACAGCAACTAGAAGGATGTGCAGCTATGACATACACCTATCTACTGGGGCTTTGGGGGGAAAAATAAATAAATAAATAAAATTATAAAAAAAAAAAAAACGAAGTCAGGGAGGGTGACTGTTAAGAGCCAAGAACATCACCATGCTCCTTTTGCTCCATGTCACAGAGTGTGGCAGACGTACAATACCCCACCAAAGAGTCCCCCAGGTTCCCCGTGGGGCCCTGCTGCCCAGGGAGGGTGTTGGAGAGGCAGGGCCCTATCCGCTCTGTGAGTGCTCGGCCCTCCTCAGTGACGGACACTGTAACTCCCCAAATACAAGAGAAGTTGCTGAGCTTTATTTACTGGGTGTATGGGGCTCCCACTTCCTCCTCTCCCACTGGGAAGGGCACTGACCCGAGTGTGTGCGGAGGTGGCCAGTGAGTGCATCACGCCGGCGGCAGGCGTAGTTGCAGAAGGGACATTTGAAGGGCTTCTCCCCAGAGTGCAGCTTGATGTGGCGCAGCAGGTTCCCCTTCTGGGTGAAGGAGGCACCACACTGGTTGCAGTGGAAGGGCCTTTCACCTGCAAGTGAAAAAGCAGATCCCAGAGGCCGGGTGTGAGGACCGCTGAAGGCTGAACCTAGTCCCCCACCCTCTGCCCCACACTGCCCAAGGGAAGGCGCTCAGAACACATTTCTGAGAGGCAGGGCTGTGCCACACACACAAGTCCGGCTTTATAAAGATCCCTTGGGAACAGTCTTACCCTGGGAAGATGTGGATTAGGGGTGTGTGGCAGGAAGGAGGGCACCAGGCCTGCAACACTGCGCCAAAAGACCGTTATCAAAAACCGAGCCCCACGGGGCCCACTCTGCCCCAGGAGCCCAAAGCCCGAGGAAGAGGCCTCTGTTTTTTTTTTTTTTTTTAATCATGAGATGGGATAAAAACAGTACGCAGGAGTCCTACTCCTGTTGAACTATAGGATCCTCCTTGAGGCTACAACACCTTCCCCTCCCTCACCTCCTGAGAAGAATTTCAGCTTTTCTTTATAATGACAGCTGAGGAAAGTGCCAGGGAAGTAGAAGTGTTGGGGGAAGCTAAAGTCTACCCCCCCTTTTTTTTCCTCAGCCAGAAAATGTGCTGGGAGAGCCACTTCCCTTTCTGAGACTACCCAACTCCAGGCAAGGCCTCCGGGCACCGCCCCTGCCTCTCCAGCCCACCCCGGGCGCTCCTCCTGGAACCCCTGGCTCACTCACCCGTGTGGCTGCGCTTGTGCACCATGAGCACGTTGGGTCCGATACAGACCATGCCGCAGACATCACATTTGAGCTTGCCATTGGGCAGCCGGATGCCACCAGGGGAGTGTGGCTCTGGCCCACTCCCATCACAGTAGCCCAGGGGCTCTGACAACGAGTCTTCCACGATCACACTATCGTCCTTTTCCAGGAGCCGCTCATCTGGCCCCAGCAGTCTGCTCGACTCCTCATCGCTGTACATCTCCACCTTGATGGAGTTGGCTGGAGGGTGGGATGGGGTTTAGGATAGAGCTAGGCAAAGGGGCGATCCTTCCCCCAGGCCAGAATGGCACTCCTGAAGTCCAAAAGTTTGTCTCAAAGCCCTGAGACATTCAGGCTTTAAAAGAGGCCAACAGTCTAGGTATCCTGGGTAGTAATATCAGGGTCCTGCTGGGACCTGAAACCCAACCTTTTCCTCCTAGCCCACTGACCAAGCAAACAGGCTTCAAGAGAAAAAAGTTGGGGTACATAGGATGTCTTCTGTCAATAGAGAGAGAAGGAGGCTAAGGGGAGCCTTGTTCTCCACTCTCTTGTCATTAAGAAATGTCTGGCTTGGCCCTGGGCAGGAAGCCAGCAAGTAACAGTGGTGGGAAAACGGTCCTAGGAAGACCGAAGAGACAGAGGGCTAAAGAGAGAGCAAAAGTGGAAGACAGACATGGCTTACATTATCCTCTCACCCATAAGACTGAGCCCCTCTACTCCCCTCCATAAAAATCTGGAGAGGGGGATGGAGGAGGGAGGAGCCATTGAGGAGAAAGCTTTGGCTCTAGCTCTGACCTACATTCCTGGCTATTCCAACCATTTAGAGAATGTCACAGATCTAGGGCCAGCTGAGGAGGGGCAGTCATGGGGACCTTCTCTGGGCAGGAATAAGTGGGGGTGATGAGGAGATCCTTCTCATCTCTGTTTCCTATCTAACTCCAGCTCATGACCATTTCTATCTGCTTGCTATTCCAACTCAGAATTTCTCTTTGGGGCATTTACCTTAATCCTACCCATGCCTCTTTTAATTCTACCCTGGTCTGGCAGTGACTATTCACTCTCCTTTCAGAAGTCAGGAAATCCCTAGACACTGAGCTCCTTAGTGCTTTTAGAGACTCTGAGGAGGAAATCAGAGGCAGGCAGCGATGGGGGAAATGGCTGCCAATGGGAGGTGAATCCAGGGCCAAACACAAATGGGGGTGCCTAGCGCCAGGGGAGGGTAGGAGGATGCACTTACCACTGAGTGAGCGGCTGGGAGAAGAGTGCTGGCTGTTGGGGGTGCTCACCGAGGGCCCCACTGGGGCCCCGAGGAACTCCTTCTCCAAAGATGAGTCCCCGCTACCTTGGAGGAGAGAACAAGAGGGCAGGTGAAGCTCCAGCCGGAGCCATTTGCTGTCCTAATCTTTTCAAAATTCAATGAGATTTCACAGCATTGCTATTGCAGCTATGTACAAGGCAGCATTGTATGCTGGGCACCATACCTGTGCCCTCGCCAGCCTCGGGGCCTGGTGCTGACTTCCGCGAGCTCAGTGGCTGCGCCTTGCCCACCCTACCTTTATCTAGGCCTGAGGGGAAGAGCATCACTGCCTGACGTCCACAGGAAGCAGGGCTGGGGCTGGGCGGGCCAGGGTGGAGAGGAAAATGGGGGCCTCAGGAGGGAGGTGGTTCAGGACAGACGTTCTTCCCCACTGTTCCTCTCCAGAGCCCCCAACACCAGGTTCAGGATCTGCAGGAAGGGCAGCTGGAATTGTCCCTGAGTCTAATGATAATAGTAATCATAATGATGGCAGCTAACATTGAGTGCTTACTATGTGCCAGGCATTGTTTTATGCACTTTAAATGAATTATCTCATTTAATCTTCACAAAAACCCTATGAAGTAAGTGCCAATATTATTTTAATTTTGCAGATGAGGAAACTGAGGCACAAAGAGGCTATGTTACTTGTCCAAGGTCACATAGCTGATAGCGGTGGAACTGGGATCTGACCACAAACAGTAAGTGCCCATGCCCTTAACCACCAACAACACAGCCAGTTGGGGGCACTGCTTCAGGAGGGGAGAGCTGGGCCCATTAGACTGTCTACAATCAGCAAAAATTTGACTACTCTAGAAAGCCTCCTGTCTGATACGATTCCAATCACATATTTACTACTTGATGTTCCCTTGACAATAAAATAATAGTTTATTCTCAATATATTCATTTTAACTTGTTACAAATTGCTTTGTAAAAATGCTTTCGAGAGTTTCATGTTTTTAAAAATCAGATAACACACTTGAAGATACGAATCACGTCTTTAAAAAAAAAATCCCTCCTCCCCACAATCTTCTATGCAAATATATAGGTGAAAGAAAACACGTGTAGATAAACACATCCACAGACACAGACACATATCACATATGTAGGTACACATAAAGAGAACATACCTATGAGATAAACATACCCATAGCCTTCTACATTATCTGCTAACATGAACATGCATGGATGTGTGCACACAGGCCTAAATATGGAAGAGACAGAGAGAGACAAACCCTAAAATTCATCCCTAAAGTCCACCTATTAGTACTTTACCCAATTTCCCAGCTATGTACATACTTACTTTCACAAAATAAAGATTCCATTATAAAATGGTTGGAGTCTTGGGCCTGAGGCAAGAAATCCGGAACACACCCTCCTGAGGGATCCCTCTCCAGCTTTGGTCAGTGGGAAGAAAACAACCACTCAGGACTTTGGGACCATTTCCCATTTATATCCTCTCCTAAAAGTCCCATTTCCCCCATTCTAGCCCATCAAAGCCTGATTTTTCTATAGAAAAAGCCTTACAGCTTGAAACTGAGTTTCCCCAGCTGCGGCTCTTTAGATGAGCCATAGTTAGCTTAAAAAGTTGCCCAAAATCCGAACCACACACATATCATGAAGTGAGCATCTCAGAGTTGCAGGTTGAGACTTGTAGACTCAGACCCAGTTTTAAAATAGGTCTTTTCAACTAAGTGTAGGGTTTACTGAGGTTTTATAAGGGCTGATTAACCCTATACCTATTTCCTTTTCAAACGTGAGTGCTGACTTGCCCTAAATCACTTGATGTTAGTAATGGGGGAAGAACATGGCTCTGGGCTCTGACACTGAGTCCTTGACCCTAAAAGGATGAGTGAACTTGCTGGAAATTCATCACTAGTCCCAGCCCACTTAGGCTGAGGCTGCCTCTTGGGGCCAGGGGCTTGATATATGGGGAAAAATATCCTTAAAGGGACATTTAGGGACACTGAGGGGAAAACATCCTTTGTGGTTCTCCTTTTGAAAGCCTGGGAACAGGAGGAAGAGCAGGTGCCTCCAGAGTCACACCAGTAGTTCAAGAGGCTCTTTGATGCCATTGCCCTCCCTAGGATAAAGGTGAGAGGGAAAACAGGCTCACGTCTACTTTTATGGGGCTAATATATAAAAATGAATCCATTTCAGGGGCCAGAAAGTCTTAATGGGGCCCCAGGGAATTTGAGTTCTAGCCCGAGGGTGAAGGGGACTACAGTCAGATTTAGGAAGTTCAGAAGTTCCTCTCTCAGCCCCAGAAACCCCTGTGAGGGAATTTCAAATGCCTGGGACTCCCAAGAAATCCCAGACTGTCAGAGCCAAGAATTAAGGCTGCTCTCAGGTCTCAGAGAAATTTTCTTGGTCAAAGTCATCATAGATTGGCTGAACCCCCAGAGGGCAAAGCCAAATCATGAGGTTCACGTCAGAGGAACTAGGAGGTGGGTAAAGGGCAGAAGAGCAGGAGGGAGAGAAAGGAACCAGGGCAACGTCCCACAGGCTAAATGTGTTTCACATGCCAGAGACCAGCCCTCCGCTCCTGCTGCCCGTCCTCGATCCCTTCAAAGAGTGGCTACCTCTAGGGAATAGCCATGAGGTCAGGGAACCTCCACACTTCTCTGCAAGGAACCTCATCCTCACTGCTTTCCCTTTCTTGACCATGGGCTCAGTGTGGCAGGATGCTAGCCTGCTAGCAGGGAATAGTGGGTACAGGAGCAAAGAAAGACGCCCATCCCCAGCTCTATTGTGGGGAGGAGGCTGAGGCCCCTCAGATCTCTGCTCCAGGCTGAGGCATCTGCTGCCAAGGCTCCTCTTTACCTCGATTCTATTACCCATTCCCACCCAGGCCTGTCTCGGCATTTCACCCTGGGCAGCTCTACATCTGTCCCCAAGGCCTAATCAAGATGTCACCACAAGCTCCCAGTGTCCAAGTCGCAGTCTTTGCTTAGCAACACCAAACACCCTTTCCCATCCTCCGCAAGTGTGAGGAATGCCCCCTCCCCCGCTACACACACACACACACACACACACACACAGCCCCCATCCTCTCCCTCTCCTCAGGCTCGGGAGTTGTTACTGAATTGGCTCCCTAGCCCCAGCACCCCCTTCCCCCCTCCACTAGCCACCTTCTGCCTGAACTTACATTATCCTTCCCTTGCCGGTGAGACCCTGGGGTGCGAACGCGGCCGCCGCCTTGGAAACGGCGAGGGAGTGCGGGTGGTGTGTGCATGTCTGCGTCTCAGTGGCAGGCAGGGGTGAGCCCAGCCACTCACCTTCCAGGAAGCGTGGATTCCTGGAAGTGAGGGGAACCGCCGTCATTTCGCAGGCAGCGGCAGTGGCACGGTGAGCAGGGGCCCACGGCTGCAGCCAGCAAGAAGAGCTCAGCCCAGGGTGTATGTGTGTGAGTGTATGAGTGTGTGTATGTGTGTGTGTGTGAGAGAGAGAGTGTGTGTATGTATGTGTGTGTGAGAGAGAGAGAGCAAGCAAGCGAGCACACGCTTGGATGTGTTTGGGGAGGGGGCTGGAGGGAACGTATATGTGTGTCTGGTGTGGGGGATGCTAGGCTACAGCATCCCTTCCCAAGCCAGTGAAGGGGTAGGGGTGGGGGTGTGCACAGGGAGGGGAGGCAGATGCAGTTGCCCTCGTGCCCAGCAGACAAAGAGGAACTGCACAACAAATGCCTGAGAGAGGCAAGAGTGTGTGCAAGAGAGAGAGAGAGAGATGGATGGGCTCTCGGGGTGGGAGGGAAAAAGGGGGGCCCCCCAGGGAAGGCCCAATCCTCTGCCAGCTGGGGAAGCCAAGGCCCCAGAGGTCACGGGGCCCAGGACACCGGGCAGCTTCAAGGCTCTCAGATCAGCAGAAAGCCCCTCCCCCACCAAACTCAGGCACTCGTATTCCCTCCTTTCCCTCCTCCTCCAGGAGTGAGGTTGCTCTCTAGATCTGGGGACTGACAGCCCCGTCCTTCCTGGCAGAGAGAGGGCCCAGCAGTCTGGTCTCAGGCTAGTGTTGCTCCATGGCCCTGAGCCCTTTGAGATCCCAGGCAAAATACTGGTATAATCTCCCCCCCTCCCCTCCCCTCCTGTGCCCCTGGGGCCCGGCAGCAACAGCCCTGGATGAATCCGCCTTCTATCAAGACAAGGCCTCTGCTCCCTTCCCTTCCAGAGGAGCTGCTCACTGACGTGCTGACCTACTTTGGAGACTAGATTTTCTGATTCCAAGAATTTGGGGGTGGGAGGGGCTGTGAAACTTTGAGGTGCCTACCCCTGGATTCCTTTCTACTAAGGTTCCCTTAAACATTTCATGGTCTCAGAAAACTTGGGACAAGCACTGCTCAGTCAATTAATTGCATGAGCTGGGGTTGAGGATCTGTTTCCCTTGAAAGATAGGGAATGGGGGTGGGAAGAGAATCATGTGATAAATTAACGGACTCCTCTTCCTTCTCTCCCCCAGGAGGAAATGATCTGCACCTTTAGAAACAGATAGAGGGAGAAAAGATGGACTTTCTGAATCAGGTTCTGTGAGGTGGGAAAATCTCTTCAAAGAACAGGAGAGACGCCCCCTTCATCAAGTAGCCAGGCGAGGGAAGGCCACCTGGGGTGGAGGCAGAAGAGCTGTGATGACCTTGAAGGGGCTGGTATGCTTTAGGAGGGGCCTACACTGCAGCCTTCCCCATGGCTTCCATATCAGCCCAGGAGAGATAGTCAGTCACGGCTCTCAGATGCTCCTCAAGTGGACTGTCTCAGGCGTGCCCTGCCCTGTGGGGCTACTTTTCAGAGCCCATGTTAGCCCTCCTTTGGCTTTCCCTTTTCCCTCTCTAAGGCAGCCCCTGACATCTAGAGTTCTCAAAACACAGATGAGGGGTTTCTGGCTTCCACTTTCATTCAAAAACCATCCTGTGCAGAGGCCTCCTCTTACCTAGGAAATGCCGACCTGCTGAAAGCAGAGGAAGCTTGGTTTCACAGCACAGTGAAGCAAACACCCTTAGAAGTTTTTCTCTGATACCCAACATTCTCCAGAGACAGGACTGAAAAGCACTCCAGGGGCTATTTCCCCAGCCATCTTCCTAGTGTCTCATTTGCCTACCTTAGGGCAGGGACTGGTTTTCATCTGTCGGAGTGTTCCCCAGCACTAAAGCAGGGTCCTTGAGTGTACATGTTGCTCAATAGTGGCTTTCTGAATAGGCTTAACTGAGCAGGAGGTAGGAGGATTGCCTGATTCCTCAGAAGGGCCATAACTTTAGTTCCAATAAAGTCTCTTTCAATTATATCAGTCCATTGGATCCCTGTCACTCTGGGCAGCATGTGGCAGGTATCAAATGCCTTTACCCATTCCAACTCCTTCCCTTCTTAAATGAGAAAGGGGTCAGAGTGAATGTCTTCCCTTCTCTTCCCTGGGTGTTGCCAATGACTCATATGTGTGTCTGACCCATCTGGCTATCTCCCTTAGTGCATGCCCATAATTCTTCCATTGGTCCCACTTTAGGGTAAAAAAAAAAAAAAAGCTATAGGTCATTTCTACAATGGAGCTTGGATTTCTGATGGGGATAGTCATCATGTCAAAACCCAGTTCTGGCTTGCCTCACCTCTTTTAATCATTTCCTGCCCTGACATTCTAAAGGTCCAAAAAATGATTCCTTCCATCACAGAGACAAACTCTGTCTTAGGCCGTTTCCTACACCCTCAGAGGGAGCCAGATAAAGTTCCTCTTTTTTTTTCACCTTGTTAAACTTGGAGAGGATCCTGATTACTTTTATATCTCTAAAAGCCATTCATGTTATAAGCGATGATCGGTCTCAGTAAGAGTATTTGGCAGGTATAAAAAGCTACAACATGTTATGATTATTGAAAAGGATTGAGGGAGGGGGCCGGCACTGTGGCGTAGCGGTTAAGTGCGCGCGCTCTGCTGCTGGCGGCCCGGATTCGGATCCCGGGCGCGCACCAGTGCACTGCTTGTCAGGCCATGCTGTGCCGGCGTCCCACATAAAGTAGAGGAAGACAGGCACAGATGTTAGCTCAGGGCCAGTCTTGTTCAGCAAAAAGATGAGGATTGGCCTGGATGTTAGCTCAGGGCTGATCTTCCTCACAAAAAAAAAAAGAAAAGAAAAAGATTGAGGGAAAGGAGAATTAGGCTCTATTTCTCTACTTCAAAGGCTGTAAGTTGTTGGCTCACTGGCTGAATTCAGCCCATAGATAAGTTTGGCTTGCCCCATGGAACATATTTTAAAATACTGAGTCGTTATTTATTTATTTATTTTTTTCGCTTGAGGAAGATTTGCCCTGAGCTAACATCTGTGCTAGTCTTCCTCTAATTTGTATGTAGGTCGCCGCCATAGCATGGCTGCCAATGAGTGGTGTAAGTCCGTGCCTGGGAACTGAACCTGGGCCGCCAAAGCGGAGCACACCAAACTTAACACTAGGCCATGGGGCCGGTCCCTGAGTCGTTATTTTAAAATGGAGACATTTCATATAAAATCTGGATTTTTCAGTTCTCTTAAAAAATTGGAAGTTTTGGCCACACTGGATACACATTCCCATATGGCAGTGACTGGTGGACACTGAAAAGCTGCTGCTCCTTCAAGTAGCACATGTGTTCTCCAGTTCATGACAGTCCCCACTGTCCCCTTCTGCTCATCATCCTGACCCAGTTTACTCATTTACACAGCCAACTGGCACCTGCAGGCCTCTGAGGTTTGAAACCCTGCTCTACTCTCTACCTGGCTGGGAGAGAATGTTGGGTTTGGCTGGCGACTTCAGCGCACAGGAGTAGGAACCATATCTTCCTTCCATCTCTTTGCTTCAAATCATTCCTCTCTCTGATAGTCTCCACTCGTATTCCCCTCCTATTCCCTTCCTCCATCCCCTAAGAAGTCTGGGAAGAGAATCACTATTTAGGGAATATAAAATGACCAAAATGAACGTGCGCTACCAAGCACTACAGGCGTGAGTGTCAGCTCTGTAACTGGGGAACTCAGAGGTCCTGTGCTAGGCTAAAGGCTCTCTACTGTGCTCCACAGGAGAGTCTGCTCCCAGCCCCTTACAAACAGAATGCACCAGAGGGCGTACCAGATATATAGGAGCGGCCATTGCAGTCTTCCATGTCCATCTCAGAGAAAGTCTGCTGAAAGAGAAAATAGCTGCTATTAGAAGCCAGATCTGGGAAGGGAGGAGGTTTCTCTCTAATGTTCTGGAGTTAGCAAGAAACCTAAAGGACCACTTAAGTGTGCTCTGACTGTGACCTAAAGAAGAAAAACCTCATACTTTGTCCTTGTGAAAAAGATAATACCTCGACTTACAAACCCCAGAGTCTCCTCCAACCCACAACTTCTGCAGGCTTCCTCAGCCTCTGGGGTGGAAACACTGTCTTATTCCAGTGGTCCTAGCTGTGTTGTTTTGAGAATAGATCCTCTCTCCCTGTAGGTGGAACTGATGCTGTAGGAAAGGAGACAGGTCACAGCTCAGCCCTCAAGAGGCAAAGAAACAGCCCCATAGAGGCTCTATACCTTGTTAAGGATGAGGCAGTAATAAGAGAAAGAAGAGGGATTCAATCAGTCAAGGGGGGGCCGGCCCAGTGGCGCAGGTGGTTAAGTGCGCGTGCTCCGCTGCGGCAGCCCAGGGTTCGCTGGTTCGGATCCCGGGCGCGC